GCTTACACTACTTCAATGTAATCAAACAAGTGAATGCCACGTCCTTTTGTTACTGGGGACATGTCAGGAATGGCTGGCTCAACGAAGCTCAATCTCACTTTCCACAGCTCTGGTCGTGAACTCAGTCTGACGATAAAGTCTAACAAGCGGAAAAAGTCCCCGCAATGAATAGTATACCAGATTTGTTGTTACATGCTGAATTATCTCGAGAACTTTTCCCAAGCCTTCCTCTGTGCTTGGTGGTCATAAACAAGTCCAGGTGTTGCTGTAAAGCAGCCTGCTCCCACGCCAAGTCCAGCTTTTTGCAAAACAGCCTGTTCCTGTGTAGTTTTCCCACTCCCCCTCAATTGCTTACCGCCATGTCCAATTAACAGATGATCAAAACTTTACATTGACATGTACGTGTTCAGTAGTTGTATAATCAGCTTGCACATGTCAAAGTTTGCAACTATATAGGTAAATAAAAACAAGCAGCAAACAATTATCAATAAACACAATAACTGGGTGCCATAATAGCTCAAGGTTTGGGTGACCACCCCTTAAATATGTCCCAGCAATAATACACAGCAAAGAGTTCCCAAATTGTCTGCTGTACTAATTAATTATCATGGCTCTAAAAATAAAGTCATGGCAGTTTCTTGCTGATGTGCAAGGCAAGCTTGTAGTGTTTCAAATGTCACATATAGAGGTACCCTATGTAATTGGTTAACGATGCAGTCCAAGGCCTGCCATTCTTTTATTCTGTAGGTTTTACTTTTAATAGCATCATAGATAACATAAATTTTGGCACTATATAAGTTGGCAGGTTGTTCCTCTCTCATCATTCACATAGACAGTATGAGTACTGGTTACACACGTGGATAGGGCCAATTTCATGAATGGATGAATTATTGACGTGACTTTCTTCATGTGCGAGTATGCCTGCTAGGCTGCAACGTATGCAGTTCAAAGGTAGGGGTATGGAAGGGGCATACACGGCCTTCTGGCCATTGTTCACAATCATCCATTTGTTATCAACTATTGTTATGATTTGCAATGAAACATGTGGCCATAACAGGTCTCCAAACAGATAGAGTAAAGAAGTAAACTTGCACCATATTTGTCATGGTATACTATTTCAAATCAAAAAGGTAGCTTTACATACTGTGGCGTTACAATTAGTTTTAAATAAATCAGGCTTAAGCATTAAGCTGGCGTGGGGGAGACTAAACAATCATTTCAGAAACAACAGATAGCAATGAGGTGGTTAGTTCATGCCATTGAGTCGAACAATATCACTAACAAATTACACTCTGTTCAAATAGCTTCCCCATTAAGATCCATCTGAGTGTGATGTCCCAGACGAGGCTGTCAGCAAACTTCCAAACCATGTTGGTCAGAACCCAATTTGCTAAATGTCTATGTGCTGATGGTTTGGTCCATGCAGCAGATAATTTAGTAGCTTCCCTAGTGAGTTGTCCAACCTTAGCAATCTTGTTTTGTAAAGTCACAATATCCATAGAATTTAATGCACCTATCTCCATCCCTGCTCCATCTAGAATGGTAAAGAGTACATCTCTTCAACCACGCATCTGTACTGTTGATGGTGTATGTGGAGGTCAGGCAGTTTATTTCCATTAGTTATTTCAAAGGCATGGTTAACACAATATTTGGTATAAACACTGGGGTGCATGTATCATATAATTGCTGAAGATGCGGTAACTATATGGTCTTCAATGGACTCTAAGTGGCCCACCATCGCATCACGCATGGCCCATTATCTCTGTAACACTTTGACACAGTAGCCATTTGCTACTTCATAATTAGACCACCTTGTATATAAGGGGCTTTGGACCGTTGTGTAAGCTGCATCAAAACAGCCATATTCCAGGTGGCAGTGCTAGTGTCACTGAAGTTAGTTCAGTAACAATCGAGGATGCTCCAGTCTTCAATGTTAAGCATTGGGCAACCATGCCACCCTTACTTAAAAATTAGCTTAAATTACTTTACATACGTTCAAACAAGTGATTCACACATCCTTTCACTCGTTGGCAACCATGGCAATGGCCAGGACTTGGAGCTTGATCTCAATTTCCACAGCACTGGTCACAAACACAGTCTGATGGCCCACAACCACCTCCATCTAGAAGGACAAGGCCAACACACATACGGGAACACCAGCACCTCCAAGCTCCCCTCCGAGGCACTCACTATCCTGACCTGGAAATATATCGCTGTTCCTTCTCTGCTGCTGGGTTAGAATCCTGGAATTCCCTCCCTAAGGGCACTGTGGGTCAACCCACGGCAGGTGGATTGCACGGGGTTAAAGAAGTTAGCTCAGTCCCATCTTTTCAAGGGGCAACTGGGGATGGGCACTAAATGCAGGCCCAGCCAGCAACACCCACATCCCACAAATGAATAAATAAAAAGATACAGTCCAACAAACTGTACAGCCCTCAAATATTAACATCATGCTGGATTTGATGTACTGAATTGTCTCTTCCGAGTACATTTCCCAACCATTCCCCTGTGCTTGGTGGTCACACACAAGTCCAGGAATTCCTGCAAAACAGCCTGTTCCCATGCTAAGTCCAGCTTCATGCCAAACAGCCTATATTTTTCCACTATCCATCGATTGCTTATTGCCATTTTGAACCTAACCCTGAATAATCTGGTTTGCAGATATCATTTCTGGATTCATACACGCCAAGTAGGTCTGGTGAATGGGCCAAAACTTAGCAGATGGAGTTTAAGGTGGATAAGCGAGAGGTTGTCCATTGTGGTCAGAGGAATAAGAAAGGCAACTTATTAGCTAAACGGAGAGAAGGTGCCTCGCAAAAGGTTAACTCATAAGAGCACATGGTGTTGCAGGTAATATATTGGTGGGGATAAAGAACTGGCTAAAGGACAGGCAGTACTGAGTGGGGATGAGGTTGGTTACCTGTGACTGGTGGAGTTCCACAGGGATTGGTGCTGGGACTCCAACTGTTTACAATATATATTAACGACTTGGAGGAAGGAAGCGAACGTACTGTCGAAAAATTTGCAGATGAAACCGAAATAGGTGCAAAAGCAGGTGGCGAGAGAGGTACAATTTGCAGAGAGAGGTATTGACAGTTTGAATAAGTGGTCAAAAAGTTGGCAAATGCAGAGTACATTGGGGCAAAACTGTTCATTTTGGATGGGAGAACTAAAGGACGAGGTATTATTTAAACAGAGGAAACCTGCAGGAAGCTGCAACGCAAAGGGACTGGAGGGCAAAATAAAAGAAGGAACCGCAGGTGCTGGAGGTTTGAAACTAAAACAGAAATTGCTGGTGAAACTCAGCAGGTCTGGCAGCATCTGTGGGGGAAAGCAGAGTTAACATTGCAACTCCGGTGACTCTCGGGGTGGGTACCTGTGTACAAAACACAAAAAAACTAGTACACAGCGGGTAACAGGTAATCAGGAAGACTGATAGAATGTCGGCCCTTATTTCAAGGAGCTTGGAGTATAAGAGCAGGGAAGTCTTACCATAAATGTACAAGGTGCTGGTGAGACCACACCGGGAATACTGAGGGCAATTTGAGTCCCCTTATTTAAGGAAAGTATCATCTGATTGGAGGCAGCTCAGAGAAAGTTCATCAGGACGATCCCCGGTTTCGAAGGATGAGCAAAGGCTAAACAGGTTGGAACTCTGCTCACAGGAGTTTAGAAGCATAAGAAGAAGTGATCTCATTGAAACATGTAGGATTCTTAAGGACTAGACAGGGTAACTGCTGAGAGGACATTCCTCCTCATTGGGAGAGTCCAGGACCAGAGGGCATAGTCTCAGAATAAAAGGGGGCAGATTGAGACAGATTCCTCCTTATGTCAAAGAGGGTTGAGGGTCTCTCACCTTGCCACAGAGAGCTGTGGGGACAGGGTCCTTGTGTATATTTACATTTAAAGCTGAATAGAACTATTCTTGATCAGTACAGGAATCAAGGGATTTGGCGGGGGGGGGGGAATACAAGAAAGTGGACGCGAGAAATGTGGGATCAGCAATGATCCGATTGAATGGCAGAGCAGTCTTGAGGAGCCGAACATCCAACTCCAGTTCCTCTTTTTTTTTTTAAAAGAATGGTCTTGTAGAAAATTCAAAATGCTTCAGTGCAGAGGGATCTTGGGGTCCTTGTGCATGAAACCTAATATGCAGGTACAATGGGTAATAAGAAGGGCAAAGGGAATTTTGATATTTAGTGCTGAAGAATTAGAGAGTGTAAAACTAGGGAAGGTGTTGTTGCAGATGTACAAGGCGTTGGTGAGATCTGGAGTTACTGCGCACAATGTTGGTCCCTTTACATGAGGAGGAATGTAACTGCATTGGAGGACAGTTCAGAAAATAGTTACTAGATTGATTCCAGAGGTGAGGGCTTTGCCTTGTGAAGGGAGATTGAGCAGTTTTGGGTTATACTCTCTGGAGATTAGAATGAGAGATCTAAAGGAGGCACATGAAAAGGTGCTAAAGTGGGTTGACCAAGTAGACGTGGAAAGCACGTCTCCCCTTGTGGGACAATCTAGAACAAGAGGCCGTAGTTTTAGGTAGTACTTAAACAGAGATGAGGAGAAATTAATTCCCTCAAAAGGGTCATTAACGTGTGGAATTCACTCCCCCAGAGGGAAGTGGATGCCGGGATTTAAGGAAGAGTTGGACAGATTTTTAATGAGTAATGGTTTGAAGGGCTATCGAGAATAGACAGGAAAGTGGAGCTGAGGCCGAGAATGCGATCAGCCCTGATGGTATTAAGTGGCGGGACGGGGTACTCCCCGCTTCTCGATGCCATGTTCTAAATCTGCTAACTTTAGATCTAGCTGCAGCGCTTGGCAAATACAGTTTGCCTTTCAGGACAAAACGTACTGCCGGGGTGGGGGAAGGAAGAGAGAGAGAGAAAGCGCCCTCCGACCCTCCTATCTCACCCACTGTCAGAAAGAACACAGTTCAGTCCTGGACGTGGCTCCCAGCCGCAACAACAACGACAGTAGTAGGATCCAGCCGCCGCTGGTGAACCCGCTGGTGTAACCGCAGCTTAGAGGACTGGATAAACCCCTTCCCGCACTCGGAGCAGACGTACGGCCTCTCCCCGGTGTGAACCCGCCGGTGGGTCAGCAAGTGCGACGATATCGTGAATCTCTTCCCGCACTCGGAGCAGCTGAACGGCCTCTCCCCGGTGTGGAACCGCTGGTGGGTCAGCAGGCTGGACGACTGAGTGAAGCCCTTCCCGCACACCGGGCAGGTGAAGGGCCTCTCCCCGGTGTGGACCCGCCGGTGGGTCAGCAAGTGCGAGGAGCAAGCGAACCCCTTCCCGCACTCGGAGCAGGTGAACGGCCTCTCCCCGGTGTGAAGCTGCTGGTGGGTCCGCAGGCTGGAGGCCTGGGTGAAGCCCTTCCCGCACACCGGGCAGGTGAACGGTCTCTCCCCGGTGTGCACCCGCCGGTGCCTCAGCAGTTTGGACGAGTCTCTGAATCCCTCGCCACACACCGAGCAGATGAACGGCCTCTCCCCCGTGTGAACCTGCTGGTGCCTCTGCAGCTTGGACAACTGAGTGAACCCTTTCCCGCACACGGGGCAGTTGTAGGGTCTCTCCCCGGTGTGGACCCGCCGGTGCGTCTGCAGGTTGGATGAAGAAGCGAACCCCTTCCCGCACACGGGGCAGGTGAACGGCCTCTCCCCGGTGTGGACCCGCCGGTGGGTCAGCAGGCTGGACGAAAGAGCAAACCCTTTCCCGCACTCCGTGCAAGTGAACAGATTCTCCCCGGTGTGCGTCCGCTGGTGTATCCGCAGGGTGGACGAAAGAGCAAACCCCTTCCCGCACACGGAGCAGGCGAACGGCCTCTCCACGCTGTGGCCACGTCCGTGACTCTCCAGCCCAGATGGGGACCTGAGTCGTTTCCCGCAGCCCCCACTCTGCCATGGCATCTCCACGGTGTTGTTGTCCTTGTGTCCCTCCAGGTTGGATGATACGGTAAAGGCTGGAAGTCCACACGAGCACACAACACGCTTATGGTGTCTCCTGGAAGAATGTTTTTTTCCACTTTGTAACTGTTTAAAGCTCCTTCCACAGTCAGTTCACTGGAACACTCTCAACTCAGTCCGTGTAACTGAAATCAGGAATTACTAATTGGAATTAGGTGTCATACAAACGCAGAAATCACTTTGCAAAAAACGATGATAAATAACACATTGAATACCCGCCACAGAAGAGCCGCAGGCTTATCTCTGTCCTCCATTAACTTACTATCCTCTAAATGTCGGCCATTCCGGAAGACCACCGTTCTTAATAGTGATCACTAGGAAAGAGACCGTCCTTTGAGCCAGGCAAATAAATACATCAAGCTGAGGGAGCAAAGGGTGTCAATATATTTTAAACGAGAGAGACAGATCCGGACCAACCTTTTCCAGAGTCTGCTGCTTGCCCGGATTCACTTCCTTTCCCTTCAGCTCCTTCAAATCGACAATTAAACTCCAGAATGAGAAAAGAGAGTGTTATGCTCACAGATTGGACAGAGGAGGAAGTTGCAGTCTGGGGGTGAAGCTCAATCTTCATTCAGAGAGAGAGGAGGAGGAGCAGCAGCAGGAGCTCATTGCTCAACTTCCGCATTCAGACAAAAGGAGAGTTCTGATTGGCAGGAGGACCAGAATCCTTCCGGTCCTCCAACGTTTCCAATTGGCATCCTGCGCATGACGATGTGTGACGGTGCCAGCCAATAGAAACCGCGCCTGTGAGGCTGGCATCCTCCGCAAGGTCTGGGGATGGCGAAGGCACTTTGCAAAATTCTTCCCCTTTACTTTGCAGTTTCGAGATCAAACAAAGCACAGGGTTTAATTTTAAGCTTCACATTCACTGCAACTTCCTCAGAGATAGTAAGAACTGCCGAGGCTGGAGTCAGAGATAACACAATGTGGAGCTGGATGAACACAGCAGGTCAGGCAGCATCAGAGGAGCAGGAAAGCTGACGTTTCGGGTCGGGACCCTTCTTCAGAAATGGGGGAGGGCAAGGGGGCTCTGAAATAAATGGAGAGAAGGGGGCTTTGGGCTGGGGAAGGTAGGTGGGATGGTGATAGCAGGTAGGTAGTGGTGGGGATTGGTCAGTGAGGCAGGAGGAGCGGATAGGTGGGGGAGAAGACGGATAGGTCAAGGAGGCGGGGATGAGAGGGAGGGTTAGTCTTGGGGTGAGGTCGGGGGTGGGGAGATTTTGAAGCTAATAAAGTCCACATTGAGACCATTGGGTGGTAGGCTTCCAAGGCAGAATATGAGGCGCTGTTCATCCAGTTTTTGGGTGGCATCGTTGTGACACTGGAGGAGGCCCAGGATGGACATGTCGTCCAGAGAGTGGGAGTTGAAGTGGTTCGCAACTGGGAGATGTTGTCGTTTGTCACGAACCGAGCATAGGTGCTTTACAAAGCAGTCCCCGAGTCTCCGCTTGGTCTCACCGATGTAGAGGAGGCCACATTGGGAACAGCGGATACAGTAGCGGATGTGCAGGTGAATATCTGTCTGATGTGGAAAGTTTCTTTGGGGCCTGGGATGGAGGTGTGGGGGGAGGTGTAGGGGCAGGTGTAGCACCTCCTTCGGTTGCAGGGAAAGGTGCCGGGGTTGGTGGGGCTAGTGGGGAGTGTGGAGTGGACGAGGGAGTCGCAGAGAGCGCGGTCTCTCCGGAAAGCAGATAGGGGTGGGGAAGAAAATATGTCCTTCGTAGTGGGGTCAGATTGCAGGTGGCAGAAGTGGCGGAGAATGATGCGTTGAATCCGGAGGTTATTGGTGTGATACATGAGGACAAGGGGAATTCTGTCTTTGTTTTTATTGCGGGGAGGGGATGTGAGGGCTGAGGTGCAGGAAACATAAGAGATGCGGTCAAGGGCACTTTCGACCACTGAAGGGGGGATGTTGTGCTCCTGCGAACGCCTCATCTTGGGAGCAGATGCGGCAGAGATGGAGGAATTGGGAGTAGGGGATCGCATTCTTGCAGGAAGGTGGGTGAGAGGAGGTGTAGTCTAGGTAGCTGTGGGAGTTGGTGGGCTTGAAATAGATATCGGTTTTGAGGTGGTCACCAGGGATGGAGACAGAGAAGTCCAGGAACATCTCTCAGTAAGACACCCTCCTCACTGGGAATTAGAATAGAGGGCATCTCCAGCTGGAATTTGTGCCATGCCCCTGGGGGAGGTGCGTGGTGGTGAAGTGATGCTAGTCTTTTTTGTGGAAGCTGTTGCATTTTATGAACTATTTCAAGTGAAATTAATCCTGTCTGTTCACATTCTACTCATCTGCTCATCAATGCTTCATTTTTGTTGAAATTAGTTCGATTGTTAATGTCGAAAGTTTCTTGTCTTTGAAAGGTGAAAACGTGTCCTTAGATTCACCTACAAAGTCAGAGCAGCATGAGGCCATTCAGCCCCTTGAGCCGAGCTTGCCATTTAATAAGATCGTGGCAAATCTGCTTGTGTTTGGAATTCCACGTTCCCTTTGGTTCCACCACCCAATACGAATCTATCCATGCACACCTTAAAAATACTCAATGACCCCCTCGCCTCCACTGCTTTCTGAAGCAGAGAGTTCCCAAAGTCCCAGAAATCTCAGAGGAAAAATGTCTCCTCACCTGTAACTTAAAAGGATGATGATGCCTAACGTTAAAACAATGTCCCCTAATTCTGGTGACCCCACAACAGTAAACATCAATTTCACATCTTGTCAAGACCATTAAGGATCTTACGCGCTTCAATCAAATCACCCCTCACTCTCTAAACTCCAGTGGATTCAAGCAAAGTCCATCCAACCTTTTCTCATATCATAACCTGCTCATTCCAATAAACCTGTTGTGAACTACTTCACCACATTTGCATCCTTCCTTAAATAAAAAGACCAAAGCTGTATACAGTACTCCAGATATGGTTGCATCAATGTCCTGTATAAGTGAAGCATAACCTCCTTAATTTCACAGTCCATTCCTCCTATAATAAAGGATATCATTCAATTAGTCCTTTTTTAATCACTTGCTGTACCTGCATACTAATGCTTTGTACACTGGAACACCCAGCTCCCTCTGCACATTGGAATTCTGTAGTCGGACTTCTGTAGTTGTTCTTTTAAATAGTGTGTAAATGTTAACTGAGAAGAGAATGGGTTCACATTGCTGAGAACAAGCACCAACATCACAAAAGAGACACAGCTTGGGGATGTAAGAATAACGGAGATAATTCTCTGAAATTGCAGAACTCATTAAAACAAATTAAAAGGGATCTGCATGTCGTGTGCATGAATCGCAAAAGGTTGGTGTGTAAATGCAGCAAGTAATTAACAAAGCGAGTGAAATAATGTCATGTATTCTGAGGGGGAAATCAAAAGTTGGGGGGGTGGGTCACCCTTCAGCAATACACGGGATTGTTGAGATCATATTTGGAATGCGGTGTTGAGTGTGCCCAGAACAAAAGGCAAGGGCAATGATAATTATGGTAAGGAGTGATAGAGATGTAAAATAGGCGTAAATGTTCATCGAGAGGAGAATTGGTTCACACTGCTGAGAGCAGGAGCCAACAAGACTCACCCCGGGTACATAAGAATAATGGAGTTCATTCTCTGACATTGCAGAACTCAGCCTCAATTGAGAGGCTGTGAAATGCTGAAGTGGAAAACGAGTTGCTGTTCCTCCAGCTTGCATTCAGCTACAGTGAAACATGACAGCAGGCCACAGACAGAGGTGTTAGCATGACAGTAAAGTGGTTCATTGAAATGATAATCATCTGGGAGGTCGGAGTCATTCCTAAGGACAGAGTAGTGCAAGTCTGTGAAGCAGTCCAAACCCAGTCTGTGGCTGTTCTTGCCAACGTAAAAGAGACCGCGCTGTGATCAGCGAGTGGACTAGATTGAAGAAAAAGTGCAAGTGAAATACTGCTCCACCTGGAAGGTGTGTTTGGGGCCTTGGATAGTGAGAAGGGAAGAGGTGGATGGGCAAGTGTTACACCTTCCGCAATTGCACGGGAAGGTGCCACGGGGGAGCGAGGATGTGTTGGGAGTGATGGAAGAGTGGACCGGGGTGTCGCAGAGTGGTCCCTATTGAATGATGACAGTGGAGGGTAGGGGAAGACGTGTTTGGTGGTGGCATCCTGCTGGAGGTGGCACAAGTGGTGGGGCATGATCCTGTGAATGTGGAGCCTAGTGGTGTTGAACACAGGACAAGGGATAAGCTGTCCTTCTGAGAAGGCGGGGAAGAAGGCAGGACAGAAGTGTGGGAGATATGTCAGACATGGCGAAAGATCCTGTCAAACTCAATTGAAGGGGAATGCAGGGCTGAGGAAAGTGGTCAGGTCGGGGGTGCTCTGGTGAAAAGTGGTAGAGACGGAGAAACTGGGAGAATGCAATGGAGTCTTTACAGGGAGCAAGGCACGAGGATGTATAGTCCAGGTAACCATGGAAATCGGTAGGTTCAAGGTGGAATGAAACAGATATCGAGGAAGGTTATTGAGAAGTCAGGGATGAACCGGGTGACTGCGAGAGCAGCACGGAAATCGGAAGCAAAATTGTTTGACTTTTCTAATTCCAGATGAGAGCAGGAAGCAGCAACAAAGGCGTTGTCGATGTACTGGAGAAAGCATTGTGGACAGGGGCCTGAGTAGAACTGAAACAAGGGACGATCCACATACTCCGCAAAAGGACAGGATATGGCCACACCTTTGAGTCAGAGAACGTGAGAGCCGTTAAAGGAGAAGTTGATCGACGTGAGGATGAGCTCGGCCAGGTGGAAGAAGCTGGTGGTGGATGGTGGCGGTACAGATCTTCTTTACGAGGAAGAAGACAGAGAGCTCTCAGACTAGCCTGATTGGGGGAAATGGATGTGTAGAGGGATTCCACATCCAATGTGAAGAGGTAGTGGCTCAGACCAGGAAACTGGATAGGTGTGAAACTGACGCAAAATGTCAGAAGAAATCACGAGTGCAAGTGGGAAGAGAGTGAACAATGAGGGCCGGGCAAGAAATAGAATCAAGACAAGAAGAACCAAGATGAGTCAGGACAGGAACAGGCTGAAAAAAAAAGAGCCTTTGGCTGGATTTTGGGAAGAAGGTCGAATCAGAGTTGGTGGCAGCATGGGGATCTGTGAGGTATGAAGCTGTGGAGGGAGCTCTACAGAGGGAACAAGGTCTGGGAGAGACCTGGAACCTACAGCCCAATGGCCAGTGGTGGAAGTCACAATCCGGGGGAGCTGGGTGGAGGAAGTGTCCGAGGATTGGCACTCAGCCTCTGCAAGATTAGGGTCAGCACATCAGATGATAACAGCACCACCCTTTTCAGCAGGTTTAATAAACAAGTCGGGATTAAAGCCAACAGAATGGCATGCAACTAGACTGATCCCTGGAATGGGTGGGCTGTCTCTCCAGAAAGGATTGCACAGGGCCTCTCGCACTGTTAGGGCGAAAGCACTGAATGGGTTCCTTAAGGTCTGATCAAAATGAACACAAGAAGAAATGTGTGCTCCAATACAAAGCAAATTTATTAAGTTAAACTACTTTAAGTACGTGCAAAACAATGAGTGACACAATTAGCTTAAATGACTTTAGATACAGTGAACGAGTG